GGGCAGGGGAGGTGAGGCAGTGCGGCAGCCGTCTGAGCACTCTCTATAGAGTGCTCAGGCGGCTGCGGCATTTAAAAGGCCGGCGATGGGGGCGCAGGGCGCCCCCTCCTATATGGCGCCCTAGGCGGCTGCCTAGTTCGCCTTATAGGAAGCGCCGGCCATGCTCCCACTACTCCTGGGCGGCAGCAATGACCATGGTACACATAAGCCTCAATACATCCCCAATACATACAATAAAAACCAAAGAAAATAGTTACTTGCGCACTATACCAAATCCGTATGCATATTTAAATAAATGGAGTTTTTAGTATCCTTCCAATAGCTCGCCTGCCACGTCAACACAAACCTCAATGAGAGACTCTGGTTTGGGAACGTTTAACAAGTGCTAGACACCTTACCCTGTGAATTATTAAGACAAAACTTGGGGGCATGGCCAGATTGCAGAGCTGTGAGGATGCTTGCCTCAGCAGCTCTGGATAAACGATTATTAAGCAAAGAAAACTATGACAAAACGGCAAACAAAGGTCACACAGCGCAAGGGGACACTGGGGAGCACGCGCAGATACCCGTCAAGCGACACTTTAAGAGATATGCAGTGAACCAGCAGCAGCCCGAAATCACAACTTAAAGAAAGACGCACAAACAGGACTATAACTAACCCGTTAAGCGAGCCAGGCCTCTACACCAGAACTACTCCCCCCTGCACTCCTGGAACACATAGGGCGAGACATAGACCACCACATCAGGGCGCCACCAAGATCCCGCAGGGCATCGACTGACGGCCATAACATTTGGGCATCCGCATGGACTCAGAGACTGCACCCTCTTCCAAAGGCACTCATAATTTACAGTCTCAGGAGAAAACAGCACCACACACATCTGCAGCACGATGGCCGAGTTTTAAGCCCACTTCACGCACCTACACCCACTAGGCCTCAAACACTAGACGACTACACATACCATCCAGGGGATCAGTGGGGAACACCAGCACCACCACTACACCATGACAAGCAACTAAACACCCAAACGCAGGATACCACACACCCATTAACCTCATCCCTGTCAACATACATAACCACATACACTTATACTGAGATTCCGAACCGCTGGCACCATGATAACTACTTGTGTATCTTCTGTTATTTGTATCAACTTGATACTCTAGCCTGAAACTCTTAACCGCTCGATTGAACCTACTACTGATATTTTGCTAATGTTATTATACTTAAAAATGTGCCGGTTTTTCCTAATGCTCCTACTGCTATGTTTGAAAAGATTCTAGTGACTGCTATTGGGGCACCCTGAACTTGTATGTTATTATCACTATGCACCAAAAAAAAAAAAAAAAAAGAGAGAAAACTTGTTTCCTCTTGCTACCATTGGAATTCACAGTTTAGGATTGAGAAATATTTTTGAGAAATATTGTTTTTCAGGTACTGTATTAGAATCTGATTTGTAGCCATACTTGTTACTGCCACAGTTAACATGGAAGGACATTAAAGTACGTAGGAACAGAGATCTCTTTGTCGGTTCTTATTGTCTCCCCCTCTAATAATCAGTGCTTGCAACTTAAATATTTTGTCACTTTACAACTGAATGTAGAAAGTCATGTTTCCTTTCTACAAAATGTAGTTGAATTGTTGAAGTGCCAAATGCAGATCAAGTTACATATTGATGTAATTAGAACAGGCATCCCAAAGTACGACCAGGAAAAAAAAGTCAATAACTAGAAAGGAGTTAAGAACAAGCTCTAAAGACAGATTTATGTAGATTTATAGATGAATGGTGTCAATAAGTGGTGTGTCAGCATGGGTCTGTAAAGTGCTATTACGTGTGGCTGTTTTATTGATATCCTCTCATTCATTTCTGACGTGAATGCCACTATGCAATCTGTGATTACAGGATAGCGTTCCATTAAAAAAGATTCAAACTATTGCCATGATGATTTGAGCCGCCTACAAACTAAGAAATGTAATTACTTTTGTAATATAAGCATAAATAGGATGTATGTTTTTCAGGGATATTTAATTCCAGAGTTTTCTGTAGAACTCTCCACATTTTGTAGTCGGCAAAGAGTGCCAGATTTAACATTTACTTTTTTTGACAGTTGTTTTCTATCTAACCCATAAAATGAGTACTGTCCCATATTTGAAGCAATCGTGTTTCTTTTTTTTTTTAGTTCATGTACCTCTCTGCTTCATAGATGTGTATCCAACACCATTGCTTTCCAGTTTGTTGTAATGTTTAATGAATCTCAAACAAACTGTTCTTTCTGGAGGAAAAATGTGTGTCTTTCAAATAGCTAGATTAATATGGCTTAGGAACACACATCTTTATAAACTGTATGCATTACAGTTCCCAAGTTATATTTTGCATATATATAACTTATCAACTTTTAAAGAAGCGAGTCCCAACTTTCTAATATTGATTCATCGAGAGTAACACTGACTACACAGTTTAATAAATAGTGTCACTGGTTTCTGTGAGTGATATATGTTTCTAGAGTGTGATGTTAATACTTTTTGCAAAGTGAAAGCTGAATTGTCTGAAAATTAGAAGTGGCGCTAACCAGCATCCAACCTGACAAGGGTTGTATGGTTGACTGGTGACTTGTTTTCTATATTTGGGTATATACTAGCTTTGTTGCTGCGATACTAGAAGTATACTGGTCCATGTGTGATCGTTGGCCAATATAGAGAAAGAATACTATTTCCGAAAAAAAATATATATGTATATATATATATAGAAAACAAGATAGTTTGTTGGAAAAAAAATTTTGGTTGGAAAGTTAATCAGCCGTCAGAGAAAGAATAAATATTTCGGGAAAAAAAGTAGGTCATATGAAAATATATCATTGATAACCAGTGTGCTATACATTACTAAGCATATTTTGTACCTGGTGTTCTAGCATAAAAATGTTATATTCAATAAATTTCACATTCAATTACAAACTTTAAATTGGTTATTTTACAAATGCTTTTTTTCCTTATTAAATTATAATGTGCCTGGGGAGACTTTTGCAGAACATTGTGATTTCATTGTGATTTAAAATGTAGGACTCTACTGGTAGTTTAAATGTTTCCTTTTGAAAATGGCTTTCCCTAAATTAGATCATTTTTAAATATTTATTTGAAATACGCATTCCTGGAACTTTGCGAAATATTGGTTTACACCATTTTTTGGCAAATCGATTTTTTGACCACCTGATGTGCTCCAGCTCTTCTCTTTCCTCCTTGCCAGCAAAAGTGCTAGACAAAGGCAAAGAGGCATAGTGTTCTTCTAATCATGTAAAAGCAAAAACTACTTCTGTAAATGCCCTGCTTTTTCACAGTTCCAAGCTGTGTCAATGGATGATTGTGAATCTGATTAATATTTTTCTCACAATCCATAAAATTACGCATATTTAGCACATTTGAAGCAGGAAACGCAATGTAGTGATTCATGCGCACTTACATCAACATAGGGACATCACAGATTGACTAACATCTGGCGATCAGTTATCATTAAACTTACACTTTTTGCAAATGGGGGAGAAAATGAATGAGTTGCAAAGGAGTAAGACAATGTAAAAAGAAATGTATTAGTCCTATGCAAATAGCGCTATCAAATAATCAACCACTGAATAGTTGATCACAGATTACAATTAGTGTTTGTATGTATCTAACTGCAGCTTTAAAAATCCCAAACCATCCATCCCTGCAACATGAAGGCCATTTAATTTTGAAAACTGTAATTCAGCACTTCGGCAATTCAGTTCGGTTCGACACTTCCAAAATTCGGGAATTCAACAATTCGGCACTTCGGTTCGGCACTTCTGAAATTCGGGACTTCAGGAATTCGGCACTTTAAGTAAGTGTAGGGTTAGGTTAGAGGTATGGTTAGGGTTGGGTTAGGAGCAGGATTAGGGTTGGGTTAGGGTTGGGCTAGGAGTAGGGATAGGGTTAAGAGTAGGGTTAGGGTTGGGTTAGGAGTATGGTAAGGGTTAGGGGTAGGGCTAGGGTTGGGCTAGGAGTATTGTTAGGGTTAGGGTTGGGTTAGGAGTAGGGATAGGGTTGAGTTAGGAGTAGGGTTAGGGTTGGTTTAGGAGTATGGTTAGGTTTGGGTTAGGAGTAGAGTTAGAATTGGGTTAGGAGTAGGGTTTGGCTTAAGAGTAGGAGTAGGGTTAGGGTTAGAAGTAGGATTAAGGTTATGGTTAGGGTAGGGTTAGGATTAGGGTTGGGTTAGGAGTAGGGGTAGGTTAGGGTTAGGGGTACCCTAACTCTACTCCTAACCCTATCCTAACCCTACCCTAACCCTACTCCTTACCTAACCCAAACCCTACCCCTAACCCTACCCTAACACTAACCCTACTCCTAACTTAACCTAACCTACCCCTAACACTACTCCTAACCCTGCCCCAACCCCTATCCCTAACCCAACCCAAATCCTACCCCTACCCGTTTTGCCACTTTTCAGAAGTCCAAAGCACTTCAGCACCTCCGAAATTCGGCACTTCGACAATTCGGTTCGGTTCAGCACTTCCAAAATTCGTGACTTCAGGAATTCGGCACTTCAGCACTTTAAGTAAGTGTAGGGTTAGGATTAGGGTTGGGTTAGGGGTATGGTTAGGTTTGGGTTAGGAGCAGTGTTAGGGTTGGGTTAGCAGTAGAGTTAGGGTTGGGTTAAGAGTAGGGTTAGGGTAGGGATAGGGTTGAGAGTAGGGTTAGGGTTGAGTTAGGAGTATGGTAAGTGTTAGGGGTAGGGCTAGGGTTGGGTTAGAAGTAGGGTTAGGGTTGGGTTAGGAGTATTGTTAGGGTTAGGGTTGGGTTAGGAGTAGGGTTAGGGTTAAAAGTAGGGTTAGGGTAGGGTCAGGAGTAGGGTTAGGGTTAGGAGTAGGGTTATGGTTGGTTTAGGAGTAGGGTTAGGGTTTGAGTAGGGTTAGGTTTGGGTTAGGAGTAGGGTTAGAGTTAGAGTTGGGTTAGGAGTAGGGTTAGGGTAGGGTTAGGGTTAGAAGTAGGGTTATGGTTAGGGTAGGGTTAGGATCAGGGTTGGGTTAGGGGTAGGTTAGGGGTACCCTAACGCTACTCCTAACCCTATCCTAACCCTACCCTAACCCTACTCCTTACCTAACCCAAACGCTACCCCTAACCCTACTCCTAACCCTACCCTAACACTAACCCTACTCCTAACCCTACCCCAACCCCTATCCCTAACCCAACCCCAATCCTACCCTTACCCGTTTTGCCACTTTTCAGAAGTCCAAAGCACTTCAGCACCTCCGAAATTCGGCACTTCGACAATTCGGTTCGGTTCAGCACTTCCAAAATTCGGCACTTCAACACTTTGGAATTTTGGCACTTCGGCAATTCGGTTCGGTTTGGTACTTCGGAAATTTGGCACTTTGGCCGTTCAGACATTCGGAAGCATCCGAATGTCTGAAATTCGGCCGAATTTCCATTCGGACTGAACCAAATTGCACATGTCTATTAATCAACTGGACTTCTTTAATTTTGTTACTAGATTATTATTTTACTATAATGATGCCATTGTTACATAGTAGTTTACTACTGTACTTTTTAGAACTTGCTGTTACATGCAGTTATTAATAATCTGGCTGTTAACATTTTGGTTAGCAAATATTTAACTGTTTGTAACAAATGGCTGGCCTGCTGCATTCCCCCCTGCCCCACCGCTTGCCACTCCCAGCAGTAAAAATTTTTTTGATGTAACTGTCTTATCTCTCTTCCTTAGTACCAAACCATTAATCCCTGCAACATAAAGGCAAATTAATTTTGAAAACTGCAGCTTTAAAAGTCCCAAAACATCCATCCCTGCAACATGAAGGTCATTTAATTTTACTCGGCTCTAGCCACCCACCCACCCGCAATCCTTCCTAGCATGCACCTCCTGCTGTTTGGAACCACAGCCAATCACCTCCATCTCCACATTATCTTAACATGTTATCAGCTGCTGCAGTTATACCATTAACTCTCTCTGCCATCACATACAAATTCCTCTGCTACCTATGTCTCATCTCCACATTTTAACCTTTAGATTGTAAGCTTACGGGCAGGGCCCTCTACCTGTAATAAATAAAAATAAACGGCATATAGATTCACAAATGTTTTAAGTGTAATACTAACCAGCAGGTGGCAGTATTGTTATAAATTTAATCCTGAAAACATATATAAATATTTCATTATATAGTATTACATTAAAAAAGTATACCTAAGCGTGTGTTAATATAGTAAATCAGACTAAAATTCAAGATGGATATATATTATAATACATTCACAGTTCTAAATGCAAGACATTTTTTTATTCCATTAATTTCTACAGCTGCCACTCGTGGATAATTATGGAAATTGTGCAATGAACAGCTGCAAGACCATTGTTGGACAATCCTGCTCTTCAGGATTATAACTTATTGTATACCTTGTAGATGGATATAAATATAATATGGTTTAGTCCTGCAGGTTTTATGGATGCATATGTCATCATTATTAGATTTTCCTGGAAAAAAACACAAATTGCTTATAGCTGACCAGGTTGCAGCAACATTTAGAAAGAAACAGACATCAGGTGCAAGGCAGAAACTGTCATACACCTGTTGCTTGCAAAGGGGGGCTAAGTGGATATCCAGGGCATAACCCGGAAATACAAATAAAGAAAAAAATGAGAGCTGGTCTCAGTAAACAAACTGGTACCTGAACTTACAATGTTAGCACTATAGATACTGTGGTCCTATGTATAGCACAATTTGAAAAAAAGAAAACTTTATGAGATGGCAATGATGTATAATAGTGCCACAAAAATAATAATAAATAAAAGAGAACAAAAAATAAACACCTAGTGGTGATAGTGTCACACACAGTGAAAAAAAAAAGAGAGAGAGTGATTTACAAAAGGGAACCAATAACTTTCAGAGCTGTACATAAAGTAGGAAAACCCTAGATGTAGTTATGAGTAGATAGGAGGCTATCACGGGATATTTGTAACCAAAAGTATCAACCTGGCTGATTCAAAAACAATGTGGCAAGGTTTAACAGTGTCACTTGGTTATATCTGTTTCCTTATGAATTCTAGGCTATATTCGGTGTACAGTAACTATAAAGGAAATACATAAAATAGCACTTAATCAGTTATAAGCCAAATTACAAATCCAAAAGAACTGTTCATCACGACAAAAAGACTCATAGAAATACAATCTAGTATAGTATCAGATTGAAGCCGGGGGTAAAGATATACCAAAGCATAGTATAACAGCAGTATATCTATTATATTACATAGCTGCTGCAGAAATAGACAGGAGACTGAGAGGGGAACAGGGAGTAGTGGGATATATAGTGGGAAAATGCATGGTACGATTGCCGGAAAATCCCTACTAAATTAACTACACCAAACTACCTCCTTCACCCCTCCCACTGGTTCGTGGCAGTCCCCCTGAGCATCTAAACTAATAGTCATTAAAGTAAGCTACATGAAAGTAAGGGTATTGGAATCCCAAAGTAAAAAAATCTGTAGCATCCACTCAACGCACATTTCGGCGCTCAAATGCGCCTTTCTCAAGAGCAATGAGGTAAGTCCCAATCTCCCGATATTATAAAGGGGTAGGTCACGCCTCTTAGTTACGTCAAAAAACAAATGTGAGGAAGGCTGAACTTGATGGACGCAAGTCTCTTTTCAGCTATGTAACTATGTCATATAGCCAATCAACATCAGCAATAGCGGTACCCAATTGCCAACATTAAAATTATCTCAGTTGCAACCTTGCTAGTCGGTTATCCCCTGAATTACCAGGCACACTGGACTTGCAGTTTTCAGTAGGTTAACCCATACCTAACCAGCTGAATGTATAGTTTTAGAAACTGAATTTATAAGCTCTTTCTAGATAATATTGGTAATTAGAATTATCATCCAATTACTTTGATCATTCCTTCAGGGTATATGTGTAAACCATAGTGGAATATGTATATTGAAACACATATTTGTTTGGTATTAATGTCTGATGTTTTAACACTTGTGATCATACGAGAACTTTGATGGAAAGTGAGTTGGGCTTTAAAAAGTTACAAATATCCCATGATCTACTCATAACTACATCTAGGGTTTTCCTACTTTCTGTCCAGCTCTGAAAGTTATTGGTTCCCTTTTTTAAATCACTCTCTCTCTTTTTTTTTCACTGTGTGTGACACTATCACCACTAGGTGTTTATTTGTGGTTCTCTTTTATTTATTATTATTTTTTTGTGGCACTATTATACATCATTGCCATTTAATAAAGTTTTCTTTTTTTCAAATTGTGCTATACATAGGACCTCAATATCTATAGTGGTAACATTGTGAGTTCAGGTACCAGTTTGTTTACTGTGACTAGCTCTAATTTCTTTTCTACAGGTTGCAGCAGCAGTCAATCTACTGACCAGTCACATTCATTGACATCTCTCCTTTCTTCTTTAGATTCCCATGAAATAGAGAGCCTAGACAATAAATGATCTGGGGACCAAGGCAGATGTGTATAGCTGAAGCTCCTCAATGAAAACCTGAACTATTGATGATTATATCGAAATTTTGATTAATGTGATCCTGTAACTTATCAATACACGACGGTGGAAGCTGCAGCCTACCGAGTGATTCCTCTGGATATGCATAAAGCTCTGAAATGTTGCTGCCTTGTTCCTGGTTTAGGCCTACCCGCGATGGTGCACAGGCCGCTGTGAGAGGCGGCCGATCTCACACGGTAGTGCGTGCCAGACAGGTTTTCACCCTTGAATCCCTGTCAGGGCCAGATTAAGTGCCCAGTGGGCCTGGAGTTGACAATTATGATGGGCCTAATTACAGAATCTTATCGACCAAAAACACTGAAACAACCATACCTCCCAAGCGTCATGTATCTGATGGAGATGGTGTTGGAGGGAAAGGATGCAGCTATATGAAAACACATACTCTATGCTAATCTCTCTCTAATTTATGCTTTCATCTTTTAAGTAAATCCATACCTCCTAACAGCAGTGTCCAGTGAAGCAGGAAGTCAATGGGCAGGGTAAAAGGGTGTGCCACTGACGCGAATCACGTGACCAGACCTGCCAAAAGGGGTGAACGTGCCCAAAAAGGGGGCATGTTTGTCCAAAGAATTGGAAGGCCAGCCTGGCATGAATGCATGTCAGGCTGCCTGTCAATCATGCAGGCTGTCCAACTAAGGGCATACTATGCAGGCAGCACCCTGAACTTGACATAAATGCATCAAATTATGCTCCTACTCCACTCTTTCTAAGGACTGTCCCCTAGCACTCACATGTCCACTTGTCTCCTTATCGTCTTAGAAGTTCCTGGTATATAGTCTGGGATAGAGTAAAGGTGTATGTAGTGAGTGTAGAAGAAAGGGGACATGCCACAGTGTTAGAGAAACCAAAGTCTGCATTACCTAAACTAATTCTATTGTCAGCCAGTCCACACAAGTTTTGTTGCCATACATCCCTCTTAAGCTTCCAAACTTAAAGGAACACTATAGTCCCCAGAACAACTACAGCTTATTGTATTTGTTGTTGTAAGTAGAATCATTCCCTTCAGGCTTTTTGCAGTAAACACTTTCTTTTCAGAGAAAATAACACAACTGGCCACTCCTTAGATGGCTGCTAGAGGTGCTTTCTGGGGCAGTACTGCCTAGTGTGCAGCACTGCCATTCAGTGTCTCCACCCTCTGCATGCAGACACTGAACTTTCCTCATAGAGATGCATTGATTCAATTTATCTTTATGAGAAGCTGCTGATTGCCCAGGGCTATGTTTGACTTGTGCTGGCTCTGCCCCTGATCATCCTAGTTTACAGTCTCAGCCAATCCTATGGGGAAGCATTGTAATTTGCTCAGACCACCACTTCTGATTATGTCAGCAGACAGAGTCAGTTCAGAGGCAGAGCCAGCAGCTGCAGACTTGAATACAAGTAAGATTTTACTATATTTAGGGAGGCAAGAGAGGGCCAGGGGGGGCTAAAAGGTGGTTTTTACATAATAGGGTCAGAAATACATGATTGTATTCCTGATCGTATAGTGTTCCTTTAACCCCTTAAGGACTAAACTTCTGGAATAAAAGGCAATCATGACATGTCACACATGTCAT